TGGCCAATCGCATCAGTCTATGGCGACCAATCACGATCGGCTTTCAGTGGGCCAATCAGATTTGCAGGCCACGAGCCTGCTAGTCCGGAACACATAGAGCCAATTCTATGTCTGCTGCTTTTTTGGACCACCCGCCCACCCGGGCTCTTACCTGACCTTTATTTCCTGCTTTTTCAACCGCAGCTGCTTTGCGCGACACTGCTGTGGTTGAAAAAGCAGGAAAAAAGGGCTTTTCCAACTGCTGCACACCTGCACGCAGTGCTACTCAGCTGTCTGGGCAGCTCAGCAGGTCGTAAATTGCACTTGCGTGATTCGTGTGACTCACTGCATGTGCGCACGATGCAGAGCAACAGAACCGGTAGTTATACTGGTCAGATCTCATCCCTGGACCGAAGGTATAACATTGTAAGCAATCAGGTTTTGTGTAACAAGATTTACCTTATGTATAAAACCAGTACTCACAACGAAAATTTCCTAACCAAATTGATTTAATGTTATGTGCAGATGGATAATGCTCAATTTCTTTCTGTTTTTCAGAAATGTGCCACTTGCCATTTGCTCATCAATGGTTATTGTCACATTTGGCTATGTTTTAACTAATGTGGCCTATTTTACAACTCTCAGCCCTGAGGATATGCTAATCTCCAAGGCAGTGGCAGTGGTAAGTTGTGGTAAAAATGGATATAGGAAATTAGAGAAGATTAATATTATATTGAAAATAAATCATTTGAAGACCTTAATTTATAGGATAATGTATGTATGTATGTATGTATGTATGTATTTATGTTTTATGTAATGTTTTCTGTTTTTTTTTGTTAGACTTTTTCTGAACGTCTACTGGGAAATTTTTCCTTAGCTGTTCCTATTTTTGTTGCACTTTCTTGCTTTGGATCTATGAATGGTGGTATATTTGCAGTTTCAAGGTAAGTAATTCTTTTGCTTATGAAAGGTAAAATAAAAGTGAATGAAACATAGAGATATACTATGTATCTGTGCACACACATTCATACTTATTATATTTATTACTTCATATGTAAGTATCATTGACAATCTAATAATTGCATAAATAAAGAGAGAATATTATACTTTTCCTTTAGGTTTAGCTGACACTGAACACATTTGATAGTAAAATGAGTGAAAGCAATAGAACTGTAAAATATTGCACAATTCCCATTTTAAATAGATTTTGTTTTATTACTGCTCCCAATGCTTAGTACACTTTCACAGATACTTGTATAAATTATCTGTAAAAGTAAAATAAAGCAGTGCTCAACTATTCCCGTTATTGAACACTAACAAAGGTTCAAAATAGGTTTTAGAAGTTTTTTTTTCATAAGCTTCTAAGTTTGCTTTCTCAATTCTTTAATTCAGCTTCTGATGCTTGCATTGCATAGAAACAAATAGGACTATTGAGGATAACTTTGAATGTATTCTGCATCTCTGTTGAACTGCTTCAATTAATCTTGGTAATGAGGATCTTTAAAAGCTGTCCAAATTTATTTTCCCATCAGGATGTTCTACGTTGCATCCCGTGAGGGTCACCTTCCAGAAATTCTCTCCATGATTCATGTTCGCAAGCACACTCCTCTTCCAGCTGTCATTGTTTTGGTAAATCATATAAACAAATGGCTCTTTATCAACACTGTATAACATGGTCCTGCTCGGAAGCATTCAAATGTAACTTAAACACTACTTGAAATTTGGTTATTTATTTCTGTTCCACTATGTTTGGAGGGGTGGAAAATAAACAATGAGATGACATATTCAAGAACTTTCCACTAGTTACCCTTAACTCTCACAGGCTAGCACTTAAATCAGACTGCTGTATTTTATTTGAAGGTTGAATGAGAGTGATTAGTTAAACTCTCAATGGAATGATTCTTCCTAGATATGAAGCAGACTAGTGAAATTCTAAAGACAGGCTATATGCTAATGTGGTGTTTTGAAGATCTGAAGTTGCATTCTCAATATTTTGAAGAAAAATGTAAACAGCAGTGATAGATAAGCAGCATTATCCCTCCTTTCATGGTGCTATTCTAGATAATTTATATACATATGTATATACTTGCCTTTCATGTCACCAATCTGCAATGCAGAAATGAGGTGGCACATTGGATAAAGGACCACAATTTTGTTGATGACAATGAAAATGTATTACAGAAGTTGCAATGGATAAAGTGGAGGAATACATACTGCTTTCACACTGTTGCAACTATCAAATCCAATGAACAATACAAAAGTCCTGTCAAGCTGGATAGCCCTAACCTTTCACTAATACAATAGTTTTGATCAATTTAATAAGCATTTATATGTCTAAGTTAATCAGGTTGCAGCACAAACATCTTCTTTCATGATTGTATAAAGAGAGAGTGAATTGACTGAAAAGAATAGAGTCAAATGCTCTTATATTTACTGTATGGCATCTCATTGTAAAAACAGTATAATATTAGAAAACAAATTATTCATTGCCAGTCGGTATAGAGACATCAGAAATGAACAAGGGTACATGCTCACATCCAAGTGGGATGATTAGGCCAGTAAACATTTCTGTCTTTTACATCAGTAGCCTATGCTTTATCAATCCTTTTAGTGTGATTTACCCCCTATTAGAAGGTGACAAACAAGAGCTATCTACAGGCCACTGAATAATTTGGCAACTTTTCATTAATACCACTGGTCAAATTTACTGAAGTTTGGACTCCATATAGGCAAGATATGAAACATGACAAAGATAGTATCTTGCAATCTTATCTGGCATCAATTTTATTTCATGAATTCTGATGATTTGGATTGGGTGCTAGACAGTATGAGCTTCACCATGTATGAGTTGCATTCACACTTAGCCAGCCTCCTTTGGGATGATTGGATCAAGTTCAGTGAGATTGCTAATGATCTTCTCTTGGGAAAGGCATCTCTAGATCCAGTCATTTTGGATACCAATTGTCTAGTGTACAATATTCTTCTGTGGCAAATATTTAGGAGAAAATGTTAGAACTCATAGAACAACTACAAGTGTGGATTAATTGATTTTTTTTTCAATAAGGGGAAGGGAGAAAATTCAATGTGATTTATGGAGTATCCAATAAAATGTAATAAGCAACAACTTGTGCACCAATGAATATTTTTTATTTTTTAATTATTTTTCAGCATCCTCTCACTATGATCATGCTCTTTGCCAGTGATCTCTATGGCCTCTTAAATTTCCTCAGTTTTGCAAGATGGCTTTTTATAGGATTGGCAGTTGCCGGGATGATCTATCTCAGATATAAACGTCCTGATATGCCTCGTCCTTTCAAGGTAACCATGGTTACACGACTGTTTTCTATAAACACATTTTGTTCAAACCAAGCTGTTTTTAAAAAGAGATCATCTAATGAAAATATCCTCTTTTCTGGTTGCTCATACATTCATATGAATGTATCTGTTCTTTGAAAATATTTTCTGAAGACTTTTCTTAGGAAGAATCCCAAACAAGATGATATTATATCACCAGTCCAACAGCAGGCTACTTTCTTATATTCAACAGTGTACAACACACCTATGGTAGTAGTTTTGGGAGCCAAATGGGTTTGGTGGCAGATGTAACCACATCCTTCAACATCAAACTGAGGATCTCATGAGGAATTGTTAAAAACTATTAACAGTTCTTCAGTGATTGTGTCATATGGAAATTGCCTGAATTGGTTCTCAGCTTCTTTTAGGGATTAGGTATCACAGCTAGACCTTAAATGATTTCAGTGTTGGTTAAAGAACACAGCTTCTAGTCCTTCCAGTCAAAGAACATATTTTGCTGAATATTAGTTGATACAGTAATATCTTGATGATAGTTTTATATTGTTTACATTATATTACATGAAATATTTTCTCCTTAGTTTTATTTTCAATAGTTCATTGAGATTTTATTGTTAATGGTCTAGTGGTTACAACACCTGACCAGAAGCCAAGAGAGTATGATTCTGCTATAGGCATGAAAGCCTGCTGGGTGACTTTGGGCCAATCGCTCTCTGTCAGTCCAACTCACTTTTCAGGATGGTTCTTGTGAGAAAAATAAGGTTTATTTAGAGGAAGAAGTATTAGAGATATTTGCCGCCTTGAGTTATTTATAAAAATAATAAAGACAGGCTAAAAGAGATCTAAAATATTAAAAAAAAAATCTTTTGTTTTGCCAGTAAGAAACACTATATCACTTTTGAAAGCTGAAGTGTTTAATTACATATTGTAGGTTTTCCTTTATTTTAAAATATATTCCAGGTTTTTTAAAATTTTAAAATATTTTGTATTTCTGTGAAGTATGAAGTATAAACAAGTATGGCTATTGTAAATATATCTTGCTATCAGAATTTGTTATTTATTTCTAAAATGCCATTTAACTTGGCAGTCTTTTGCCTGATTGTTTATTGATTTGGGGAAGCTGGGAAGTTAATCAATATATAGTGAAGAGTTTTAAATCATAGACCATACCCTGAAAATCTTGTTTCATTGTAAGACTGATTCAAGTAGACAATTCTAAAATATTACATTCTGATTGTCTGTTGCTTGTCTATTATCATTTAAAATGATGGTGGACTAGCAAAGCAAAAGAGTTATAGGAAAAAAATAATATAAGCCTTTCAAGGTACCATCTGTACAGATTTGTAAGACCATCTGATTGGCCTTACTGTTGAGACTAAGCATTTTGTTTTTCACAGTGCAGATGCCTTTGTGATGTTTGTGAGCAAGACACAGATGCAACCTCTCTTCCATGTGGTTTCTACCATACCTTTGACCTTGTGGCTTCAGATATAGAGATAGCACAGAGTCTCAAAACTAATAGCCATCAACAGAATCGGTCTTCATGAATTAATGCAATTCCCTTTTGCTTTTTATTTATTTAATCGATTTCTAAGGCTCCATAAATGACTATGAGTGACTTACACTCATTCAAAACAACATCAAAAGAGAACTGCATCACGAAGAAAAAACCAAAATATACCACACCTAATCTGTTACTAATACACAGCAATTAGTGGTGCCACACATCACCTAACCCAGTCCCTGTGTGAAGACCTTGGTCTGAAAAGCCCTCCTGAAAGACAGCAGGGTCAAAGGCATGTAATTTCAAACCAGATGCTGTTTCAAAAGACAGATGTAACTACAAAGAATACTTTGTCACATGACATGACATTGATTTAATCAATGAAATCCAGTACATGCCAACTCAGATAGGTCTTAAATAGACAATTGAAAAGAGAAGGTCTTGCAAATATCCATATCCTATATCATGGATCATGAAGGCTTTGTAGATGCTTATCAGTACCTTGAATTATATTCAGTGGTTGATAGCCAGCACAGCTTGGAAAGTATTTGTTTACATAGGCATATCATTTACCAGTTTAAAGATATTTTTAACCACATCAACTACTTTATTCCACTCAGAAAACTGACAATGGTGAAGAACTTATTAATGAAGCCACCACTGGGATGCATGTTGAATAAAAATACATTTAGTTTCCTTTTCTTTTAATAGCTACTTCATTTGCATTGGTCTTCCTGAATATCAACGTTTTTTTCAAAGTTGTAGAGTTTCACTATTTTAATTGCCATGAAATATTAAACACTACTGACATTTAATAACCAAGCTACTATTAGATTATAATAGTAATTATTTGGAATGTTTTCCAGGTACCACTGTTTATCCCTGCTCTGTTTTCCTTCACCTGTCTCTTCATGGTTGCGCTGTCACTTTATGCTGATCCAGTTAATACTGGCATTGGTTTTGCAATTACATTGACAGGAGTCCCTGCCTACTACCTCTTTATTATATGGGACAAGAAGCCAGCATGGTTTAGGCGATTTTTAGGTGAGTGAATTTTGAGCAAAAGTGATTTTTTTTGGTATTTTTATTTATGTATTTATTTATAAAATGTACAAGCTGCCTATCTTACCCCAAGGTAACTCTTATTTTTATGTTAATTTTTATATATAAAAAATAACTTTACAGCAGATAATTTAATTTTTTCCTATTTTCCTATTCTCATTTTACATTAGTCATCTTTTTAAATCTGATATACTGGATAAATTATGGTACTAGTTTTATTACAGAGTAGGTTTTAGTAATAGAAGTCATCACACAATTTATAATTTGGGACACAATTGAATTCCCCTTTGTAATCATCCTTCCATTAAAAAAAAAAAGGGTTTCTAGACTTCCGGTTGTAGCGCTGTGGTGGAGTGGGGAGAGAAGAGCAAGCTCTGCTCTCTTGTACCCAATCTGCACATTTGGAGGCCCTGGTGAGGGGCATGTAGACCCTGGAAGGGAAGACGAAGGTTTAAGGAAACCTGAGGAGAAGTTTGACGGCGGTGGTGATTGAGCTTTGAGGGAGACCTCATTTGCTCCGACGTGTGAGTGATCGGCCATCTCAATGGCAGACTGAAGCTGTGGCACTTAGCCCAGTGAGGAAGACACCAGAGCATGAACAGCATTTTTGGCATCAATTGAAGGATTGAATTTGGAGTGAAGGAGACGGAAATTGAAGTCGAGGAGACAAATGGCAGAGAGAGATGGCAGAACTATGAGTCTTAAATAAAGGACAGAAGTCCGAATGGAAATGGTGATCCAGTGGTGAAAGCAAGGAACTTTTAAGACAGAGATCGAAGCCGATTTAGTTGATTCAAGTTTGACTGGTGTTTTGCACTTGTTCTTCTAAAGTTGGAGTTGATTTAGACTGATTATTTAGGAATTTGGAGTTTAATCTGACAGATCTGTGAGTTGCAAAAGAAGAAGAACAGTGGAAAAAAGTAAGAGACAGGACTGAACCCAAGAATGGAAGTGACATTTTGAGATTATACAAAGAGAAGAGAAGCTGATGTGACAGACTGTGACTAAACAAAACATGAACAGACAGGGAAAGGAAAGTGATTGAACATTATTGGACTTCTTTTTACAGAATATAATTAATGAAATAACATTTTGATTAAGGTTTGATTGAATTTATTAAGAATTTAAAAGTTTAAATGACATGAAACTGTGAAGACTGGTGAATTACTATTTTGATGATTATTGATTGATTGATTATTAACAACTAATGAAATAAGTAAGGTTACATATATAAGAAGTGGAATATAGAACTGTTTAAAAGAAATTGAACTTTACAGTTAAAGATAAAGAATATAGTTGATATACCATAATATAGTAATATAAAATAGCTGTATAAGAACAATTTATAGTAAGCATATCTTATGCTATTATGTCACACCCTTTCTCTTTTTTCTTTCTCACTTTGATACTATCTTTTCTGTCATCTCTTTTGCTCTGTCCCCTTTTTATCTTTTTGAATTTTGGTGATTAAGTTAATTTCAGACCTTATAAAAGATTGAATCAAATTTGAATAATTTAGAATATCATAAGTTGGAAAGGTGAAAAGATATTTATATTCTAAGGGAAACTACTAAATAGAATTAATAATAAAAGGAAAATTAAACAGTGAATGGTAAAGTAGGAAGACATCTACAACAAGTTAGGAATATGACCAGTACTATAACAACGGCCTTGAAAGGGAAAAAACTGATGTCTGGTTCATCAGTGTCTATTGCATCTCCAGCAGGCCAAAAAACAATAGAAGGAATGCTGAACACAGAAAAAACAAACAACATGGCCAACATGCAGACGATGCAAGCAACATTAACAGCTATCCAAGAAATGATGCTTAAAATGCAAGAGACAATGGTAAATAACCATACAGATATGAAGATGGAAATGGGAGAAATGAAGGCTAAGATTCAAAATCTAGAGGAGAAGATGGGAATGATCCAACAGATGTTGGAGAAGAATGAACAAAGAATAAAGAATATAGAAACTAAAGTTGAACAAACAGATAAGAGACTGGAAGGGATGGATAGGTAAGTAATAGAGATGAACAGAGATTTAGAAGATTTGATTATCTATCTCGAAATGGAACATGCAACATTCTATGTGAGGTTCCAAAATGTATTGGAATCCAAAGATGAAGATCTGGTAGCTATAATGTCCCACTTAATAGCAGAGGTATTGCAAAGGGACCAACAGGAAATAGTGAAAGAATTGGATGAGGTTTACCGAATCCACACAAACTACGCCAGATGAAACAAGCTGCCTATAAAGGTCCACATCAGGTTCACCAGAAAAAATGTAAGAGATATTGTATATAGAATCACAAAGGACGAGCCAATGGTGTATAAAGAAAAAGAGATCATGACCTTGAAACAAATCCCAAGGCGGGTACGAGAGTTGAGGAAGGACTATATCTCTGGCGATGCTCCTGAATAAATGAAACATCTGGGACCGATGGCTGGTCTCTGAAGGAATGCTGGTGACGTGGCAAGAAAGAAAAGTAAAAATTGACAGTATTGAAAAGGCGCAAGAACTTTACAATTAGTTGATAGAAACAGAGGAAGAAGGGAGTAGCAAAGAAGAGTCAGAAAGCAAGAGTCAGGAGGACCAACAAGAAGATCAACAACAAGGAATACAGGAAACAGACCAAGAAGGGAGAGGCAAAGAAAAGAGAGAATACCCAAGGAGAGAAGGACTAAGAGTAAGACCCCAAAGAGAAGCAAGAACCAACAGAAGATTTAGGTAGACTCAGAATTAACAATGAAAGAAGGGATTAAATTATCTCAATAAATATCAATGGATTAAACTCCCAGATCAAGAGGAAACAAATATTAACTAAACTAACTAAACAAAATGTCAACATTATATGCCTGCAGAAGGTACATATCCAAAAACAACATAAAAAATATCTAGAATATCCTAAGTTGCGTGTATTATTTACAGCATTGGCAAATCAAAAGAAAAGGGGGTAGCAATCTATATCAAAAAAGGGATAAATGAAAAATGAACGTTTATGCAGATGAACAAGGCACAATTTTAATGATACAAATTAATTTACATCAAAAACAATTTTGGAGATATATGCCCCTAACAATAACCAGAAGTTTTATAAGGGACTATATGATAAAATAATTAGTGTACGTGAAGAAAATATTTGCTTGATAGGGCACTTTAATGCCATTCTTGTTAAAAAAGTTTATATTAGTACGGAAGGGATTAGGAAGAGAAAAAAAAGAGAATTCTACTCCCAAAATTTTTGATTTAGCACAAGAGACTAATTTGGAAGACATATGGAGGAAGAGGAATCCAAATGAGAAGAAATTTACGTTTTACTCTAGTCCACAAAAGTCATGGTCCAGAATCGATATGGTATGGGCCAATAGGGCAATCAAGAAAGATATTAGTGAAGTAGAAATAATGCCCAATATATGGGCCAATCATAGCCCGGTTAAAATTAAATGGAAAGGACATAATAAAAGAAAAAGGAGAAAAGGAATATATTTCAAGAATTAAGAATGAGTTAGAAATATTTTTTAAGGTTAATTTAAAACAACATGCTAGTTTACAAAATTTATGGGACACTACGAAGGCCTTCATGAGAGGCATATCAATAGGCTATATAGCTAAGAAAAATAAAGAAAACTGGAAGAAACAGAAAGAATTACAAGAAAGGATTAAAAAAATTGAATATGAGCTCTAAAAAGACCCCAAAAATATGGAAGCTAAGAAAGAAATAGGGATGATTAGACATGAACTAAATTTGATAGATATTGAGGAAAATGCAGGTAACTTAAAAACTCTTAAACATAATTTCTTTGAATCAGCATATAAACAGGGAAGGTGGTTGTCCCATAAATTAAAAATAGAGAAAGAGAAAAGATTAATTCAGCAACTTAAGGATGAGGAAGGGACAATGTATTATCGGATGGAGGAGAAAAATAGAATTGCGCAAAGGTATTTTGGCGAGCTTTATAAACAAGAAGAAGTTATGGAAGAAAACATCAGATATTACTTGGAGGGAAATGGTCTGAGCCCAATCTCAGAAGAAAACAGAGAAATACTTAATAAAGAAATTACACTAACAGAGTTACAAAAGGTGATACAAAAACAAAAAAATAATAAAACACCAGGTCTGGATAGTCTACCAGACAAACTATATAAAAATTTATCTGAAATATTTGAACCAATACTACTGGAACTATATAATGAGGCATTAACGCAAACTAGACTACCAAGGTCTGGTCCGAGGCATACATCTCATTTGCAAAAGATGGCACCGATCAACTAATTACGAATCATAGGCCAATCTTGTTGCTAAATACAAATTATAAGATATTTATGACAATATTGGCAGAAAGAATGAAACCAATTTTGAGTGAACTTATACATACAGACCAGAATGGTTTCCTGCCAAATAGACAAATCAAAACCAATATTAGGACATATTAAATTTGATTGAATACTACAAAGCTCACCCAGAAAAACAGGCAGCCTTAATTTTTTAGATGCGCAAAAAGCATTCGATAATCGTAATAGGAAATTCATGTTATATCAAATTAAAAAGTTGAATTTTGGTACTAATATAGAAAAAACATTACAAGAAATATAGTCAAATCAAAAAGCAAGTATTAAATGGAGATCGCACTGAAGATTTTGAAATTGCAAAAGGAGTGAGACAAGGGTGCCCATTATTGCCTCTGTTATTTATCTTGTCTTTAGCAGTGTTGCTAGCTGCAACCAGACAAAATTCAGAGATTCATGGAATTAAAATTAGAAACGAGGAATATAAAGTTCAGGCATTTGCTGATGATTTGGTATTTATAGTGGAAGAACCAATGAATTCGGGACCAATATTGTTGCAACAAATAGAAAAATTTGGAGAAGTGGCAGGACTTAAAATAAATAAAACTAAAACTAAAATGATAGTCAAAAACTGTACAACAAAACAGAAAGTAGAATTAGAAAATATAATGGGACTGCAAATAGTCAAA